TTTTTGGTTGGGGTCCCGGGGGCCTCGGGATTATTTTGGATGGTTGATGGAAGGATTTCAAAGTTAGGAGATTGCTGAATTCAGCTTGTATCTGTCATAACCGCACCTGCGGTTTGGTTCCGCAGAAGCAGCGTAGAGACCGCAGAAGCGGATTTTTGGCTTTCCTTCAGGTTCCGCAGATGCGGAAGGTTCACCGTAGAAGTGATTTCGCATCTGCGCAAGAAGGATCGCAGATGTGATTCCTGAGCAATTTAATGAAAGTCACAGATGCGACATTTGGTCCGCAGAAGCGGGACCGCATCATGACCGCAGATGCGGAAACCGCTGGGCAGAAATATGAAATTTCGAGGGTTTAGTTTCAAAAGTTGAAAAATCGATTTGGAGCTCGGGAGAGGGCGATTTTGAGAGGGAATTGAAGAGGAGATCATTGGGTAACTATTCTTTAAGCCTTTCTAGTTATATTCCATCAATCTATAGTTAACTTCACCATTTAAATTCGGATTGGAGATGAAAATTGGGGAAAAGTTGGAAGAAAGTTCCTAGACTTAAAATTCGACTTTTGATTGGGAATTTGACCTAGGATTTGGATAATTTTTGTATGTATGAACTCGTGAGAGTATGAGCATTCTGAAAATATAAATTTTATCCGATTCCGAGACGTGGGCCCGAGGGTCGTTTTGGTCGTTTTACATAATTCCGCGTATTAGCTTAGAATTTAATTGTAGAATCAGTGACTTGAAGTGTTATTTACATTATGAAATTGAATTGAATAGATTTGGGCCATTTGGAGTCGGATACTCATGGAAAAGTGTGGTTTCGGGTTGATTTGAGCATTGTTCGGGGTAAGTAGCTTGTCTAACCTTGTGTGGGGGACCTTCCCCTTAGGACTGGTATATTTGGTAACTGAATTGCCTTGTGCGTGATGTGACAAGCGCGTACTTGTGCAAATGGTTGGAAATCCGATTTTTCTTAAATTATTCATTAGCATGTTTCTTTTCCTGCTTTATCGTACTTGCAAATTTAGCATGTTGTTAGTTAGAAAAGAATGTTTAGTTGACTTAAATTGCCTATTTGCTTAAATTGCCTTGATTGCATTACGTGAAACATGTTAGGCTAGAATTACCTGTTTCCTTAATATTAAATTCCATTTCTAAATATCTTCTTGCTGTTGTTGTGTGTTTACATTGGGACTACGGATGTGGAAATCTGGTAGCTCCCCCTGGTTTGTTTACTTTGGGACTACAGGTTAGATTCCCGGTAGATCCCCCTGCACATTTATATGGAACTACCGAAACGCACCTGGTAGATTCCCCCAGTACTGGGTATTTACATTAGGGACTACGGATCTGGATTCCGGTAGATCCCCACGCATTGATAGTTGGACTACAGGACAGGATCCCAGGAGATCCACTGAACAGTTAAAATAGGGACTACAAGACGGTATCCTGGGAGATCCCCGTTTGTTACTATTGGTACTGAGCTGTATTTACTTCCGTGTTTACTCTATTTCTGTGTAGTTGTTGTTGCCCTATATAACCTGCTTTATTTCACTGTTGTACTCATTTATGCTGCCTATTTTATACTGTTGAAACTTTATATTTTGCTTAATCTTAGTAGGGCCCTGACCTTCCTCGTCACTACCCGACCGAGGTTAGGCTTGGCACTTACTGAGTACCGTTGTGGTGTACTCATGCCCTTTCTGCGCATGTTTTTCATGTGCAGATCCAGGTACCTCTACCCAGGCTTATCACCCTTTAGGTAGGGAGATCTTTCGGAGACTTCGAGGTATATATGTCGCGTCCGCAGACCAAAGAGTCTCTATCTTTATTCTGTCATGTAGTGTTAGCCTTTCTATCTTACTATTGCTGTAGACACTCTGGAGTTAGAGCACTTTACTATATTTCATTCAGCTTGTGTTCCTGTAACTTTTTGGGTTTTGGGATAGTGTTGTAGTATTTTGAGATGTTGAGATGTATATGCCGAGCGACATTTTATATATCGTTTTCCTTTGGTTATTCTTGGCCTTTAATTTATATTTCCGCAAGTTTCTGTTTATTTTCCACAATTGTTAGGCTCACCTAGTCATAGAGACTAGGTGCCAACATGATGGTTCACGAAGGGCAAACTGGGGTCGTGACAAGTTAGTATCAGAGCACTGGGTTCATAGGAGTCACGGAACACAGGCCAGTTTCTTAGAGTCTCGCTGATTGGTATGGAGACGTCTGTACTTGTTCCCTTAATATTAAATTCCATTTCTGAATATCTTCTTGATGTTGCTGTGTAATTACATTGGGACTACAGATGTGGGATTCCGGTAGCTCCCCCTTGTTTGTTTCCTTTGGGACTATGGATTAGATTCCCGGTAGATCCCCCTGCCCAGTTTTATGGAACTACGGAAATGCACCCGGTAGATTGCCCCAGTACTGGGTATTTACATTTGGGACTACGGTCGGGATTCCGGTAGATCTCCGAGCATTGATAGTTGTACTATGGGACGGGATCCCGGGAGATCCACTGGACAGTTGAAATAAGGACTATAGGACGGTATCCTGGGAGATCCCCGTTTGTTACTATTGGTACCGAGTTGTATTTACTTCTTTGTTTACTCTGTTTTTGTGTAGTTGTTGTTGCCATGTATAACCTATTTTATTTCACTAATGCACTCATTCATGCTGCCTATTTTATACTGTTGAAACTTTATATTTTGTTTAACCTCAGTAGGGCCCTGACCTTCCTTGTCACTACCCGACCGAGGTTAGGCTTGTCACTTACTGAGTACCGCTGTGGTGTACTCATGCCCTTTCTGCGCATGTTTTTCGTGTGCAGATCTAGGTACCTCTACCCAGGCTTATCACCCTTGAGGCAGGGAGATCTTTCAGAGACTTCGAGGTATATCTGTCGCGTCCGCAGACCAAGGAGTCTCTATCTTTATTCTATCCTGTAGTGTTAGCCTTTCTATCCTACTGTTGATGTAGACATTCTGGAGTTAGAGCACTTTACTATATTTTTTTCAGCTTATGTTCTCGTGAGTTTCCGGGTTTTGGGATAGTGTTGTAGTATTTTGAGATCTTGAGCTGTATATGCCGAGCGATATTTTATATATCGTTTTCCTTTGGTTATTGTTGGCCTTTAATTTTCATTTCCGCAAGTTGTTGTTTATCTTCCGCACTTGTTAGGCTTACCTAGTCGTAGAGACTAGGTGCCGTCACGACAGTTCACGGGTCGTGATAGCGGGACTGCGATCGCCAGGCAGCTAACTCGCTGTCAACAAAGAAAATCCACCACTCAAGTGATCAGCAACCGCTATCGTACCTCGAGATACCTGGATATGCACACAAGGTGCAGGGGGTAATGTGAGTACACCAACTTGCCACACCTCCTTTTTACACACCCGAGGGTATATAAGGAAGTTTTTCCACTTTAAGTGACGTTATTCGAAATGGAATTATTTATTTAATTTTTTAGAGTCGCCACTTGGAATATTTTAATTGGTGTCCCAAGTCACCGGTTTATTTTTAAATCTCAAATCGAGGAAAATTCGACTTTTCTTTTGAAGTCTGCGAACCAAAAACTTTAAGTAAGGAATACAGTTAACCCGGGAGAAGGTGTTAGGCATTCCCGGGTTCCGTGGTTCTAGCACGGTCACATAAACTATTATAATTGGCCTATTATCTAATTTTGATACATGTTTTAAAACTATTGTGCATTTTTAACTTTATAACCGCTTTTAATTATTTTTAGGAAGATTCAACGCTATTTAAAATACCCCTTGAACCACACCACATGAAATGCACCCGCGGTTTGCAACACGTTTTATTTAACGTTGTTAAGAATTGAAATTGGGTCACATGAAATGTACACCCGAATTTAATAAATAAAAGAAAACCATTTTACATAGCGCGCCTAAAGCAACTACGAAACTTCAGATTAATAACAAGGTTTGCGAGAGCCCTGGAAAATTCAATTGATGGCACACCTCGGTTTTTAAAGAGTTAATATTAATTACATGAGGGCCATGGGTTATTTAATGAAAATGACACACCTCAAATTTTCTATAAAAGCTAACTAGTTTTGTGAGGGCTTAGGGATTTTACTTGGCATGACATGCCTCAATTTATTTCAAAAGATTGTACTCAACTAAACAAACCACGGATGTTCATGATTGTTTTTTATAGGTATATGAGAGATAATCGAAGGTAATTGCTAATGTATATATAAAAGGCAACACAAACAAAACAAACGAAAGGAAAAGACAAAAAGAAAAACTTTCCAAAAGTCTTAAGTAATTTAAGGAATTCACGTTACATAACTGATAATGGTTTGGTAAATTGTTTCAATGGCCTACTATTATTTAAACAACAATTATACTGTAGTGTGCTTAAACAATTGACCCCATTTGAATGCCGCAAAGAACTTTGACAATTATCAAAGCAATATAATCATCTTTTCACATAATTCTGCACTAAACCCATACATCACCATTTCAAGGCTATATCAAATTCTGACGTTATTATTTAACAAAACTCAACTTTACACTACAATTCTTATCAAATGATAATATGGTAAGGAGTAACCATCCAGTTAACACAGACAACAAAAGTCACAGGCAACAACTAAACGAGATTTTTTTTTTCAATGCGACCATGTTGATTAGAAATATAACTGAACAAACTAAAGAATGATTATGCAGAAGTCCATTTTCTACAAACAAGAAAACTGGGACAGCCATATTTCTTAAGATGATAGTGTATAAACTCACACTTAAAACAAGGGACCAAACAAAACCAAACAAAGATTTCCTAGCATCAGCAAGCCCCAAAAAGGCTAAATAACATATTGATATCGAGTTTAGCATCCCACACACTATGATCTTTATTTATGAAATCCAGTTATTACTACAACGCACAGAATCCAAACAACAATGAAAGATGAAGGAAAATAGTCATGACTTCATATTAAACTAGATCTGGAAAAATACAGAGGTAAGAGGACATACTTACTTGAACTAGGATTGACCTATTTGTAAGGAAAATCAGCTAAACCAAACCAATCCCAGATCTGAAACTCTGGACAACAGAGCGGCAGATCCGAAAAACGAGCAACAGCAATTTTTCTACCACAACTTCTTCTTCTTTTATTTTTTTGAAATTTTCAAATTGTTTTCTTTGGGGAAAATCAGTGAGGATGGGTGGAAAGTGTCTCGGCGGTGCCTGGTATGGAGAAAGAGAAGTCAGTCGCTGCTGAGTGGTCTTCAATGGAGAAGATGAAGAGGAGAAGAGGCTGCTTCAGGAGTCTTTTCTTTTCTTTTTTTTGGAGATCTGCCGCTTTTGGTTCTAATGAAGGGGTGTCATGATCTGATCTCTTAGGTTATTAGAAAGGGGGTCTTAGGTAGAGGGGATTTCGGCTGGATCATTTTAGTTTTTGGGCCTGGGTTGGATAGATTTTGGTGCAATTTATTTGGGCTGGTTTGGGTATTAAGATTAACCCAAATGAAAGACCCCACTTTTACTCATTTTCCTTTTCCTTTTCTTTTTCTCTTTTTTAATTAAAATCCTACAATTAAAAATCCTAAATAATCCAAAAGTATGAAATTAAACTAATTAGCTAATTATAAAAATTATAAACTATAATTGATTCTAAATTAAAAGAGAAATATCAATAAGCTAAAAATTAAAAGACAAAAAATATAAAAATGAACTATTTTTTGTGATTTTCGAATTTCTATAAAACAAGTAACTACCAATTAATCCTAAAAATGTAAAAATGAGGCCTAAATGTCATGCGTGATATTTTGGTATTTTTTCATGATTTAAATAAAACTTAAACATGCACAAAATGTAAACAATTAAATAAAATTCTACACAATTCCTAAAAGGGCAAATAATTAACAAAAAATCTATTTTCTTGGGATTTTATAGGAGTAATTCATGTGGGGTAAAAATCACGTGCTCACAGCTGCCCCTCTTTGCTCGGAGACACAAAGGGTTTTCGGGCAAAGATAAAATGAGCAATTACGAGAGATTTTTGCCCATTTGAAACTCCATAAGAAGCATTTTTTTGAAAAATCTGACCGAACCTTGCTTCGGAGGTTGCCTACATATCCTTGGCTATAAAGGAATCTGGTCAGTGTAGTTCTAGATGTTTCAGTAGCTGGGACTACTGGAAAGCTGTGATTTTACTACTGTTACTGCTGTTTCTGCTTGCTGAGCTCCTTATTACACCAAAATGAAAGAAGAAAAGCTAAACTAGCTAAGCCTATCAACTACGAGTTACAAGATTCCTATCTATGAATCTTCTGAAGTTTGATCGTGAGTCTTGGTTGGTTCTTGATGTAGACTCCGATCTGAATCTTGATGCTCATCAGTTGTAGGTGCTGGTTCCTTCCTCTTCAGCTTTTCGGATCAAGGCGGGACATGCGAAGCTTGTGACTTCAATCATATCTTGAGCAATCTGCATCTTTATCCGCTTCCACACCTTGAGTTCACTTCTTTTTTGTTCTTTTTATTCTTTTCTTTGTTCTGGATTAAAACTCGTTCTTTTGGTCGTCTCGAACCCTGTGCCTCGAGGTAAAACTTGCTCAAACACCAAAATCATACAAACGAACAAAATATTTCTGCCCCATTTTTCGCTAGGAAAATTGTGTGAGTTATTTGTTACAAAAATCTAAACTATTTTTTTTTAAAGCGATAAAATAAGGATTGTGTGTCTTTAGGAGAAAGAGATTAGGGAATGGAGCCCTATATCTTTAAAAACTCAACCAAGGAGTGGTGACCTTGTGTTGGAAAATGCGACTAGGGAGTGGAGACCCTATGTCTAAATTCTCGACTAGGGATCGGAGACCCTATGTTGGCAAAAGGCGACTAGGGAAGGAGACCCTATGTCTAAAACAACTCAAATAGCGATTGGAGACCCTCTGTTGGCAAAAGGCGACTACGGAATGGAGAACCTATGTCTAAAAATATCTCAACTAGGGATTGGAGACCCTATGTTGGCAAAAAGCGACTAGGGGATGGAGACCCTATGTCTAAAAAATCTCAATTAGGGGTTGGAAACCCTATGTTGGAAAAATGCGACTAAGGGATGGAGACCCTATGTCTAAAAATCTCAACTAGGGGTTGGAGACCCTATGTTGGCAAAAGGCGACAAAGGGGTGGAGACCCTATGTCTAAAAATCTCAACTAGGGGTTGGATACCCTATGTTAGCAAAAGGCGACTAGGGGATGGAGACCCTATGTCTAAAAAATCTCAACTAGGGATCGGAGCCCTATGTTGGCAAAAGGCGACTAGGGAATGTAGGCCCTATGTCTAAAATCTCAACTAGGGATTGGAGCCCTATGTTGGCAAAAGGCGACTAGGGGATGGAGACCCTATGTCTAAAAATCTCAACTAGGGATTGGAACCCTATATTGGCAAAAGACGACTAGGGAATGGAGTCCCTATGTCTAAAATCTCAACTAGGGATTGGATACCTATGTTGGCAAAAGGCGACTAGGTAATGGAAGTCCTATATCTAAAATCTCAACTAGGGATTGGAGCCCTATGTTGGCAAAAGGCGACTAGGGGATGGAGACCCTGTCTAAAAATCTCAACTAGAGATTGAAGCCCTATGTTGGCAAAAGGCGACTAGGGAATGGAGGCCCTATGTCTAAAATCTCAACTAGGGATTGGAGCCCTATCTTGGGTAAAGGCAACTAGGGGATGGAGACCCTATGTCTAAAAAATCTCAACTAGAGATTGGAGCCCTATGTTGGCAAAAGGCGACTAGGGAATGGAGGCCCTATGTCTAAAATCTCAACTAGGGATTGGAGCCCTATGTCGGCAAAAGGTGACTAGGGAATGGAGAACCTATGTCTAAAAATCTCAACTAGGGATTGCAGCCCTATATTGGCAAAAAACGACTAGGGAATGGAGGCCCTATGTCTAAAAATCTCAATTAGGGATTGGAGCCCTATGTCGGCAAAAGGGGGCCCTATGTTGGAAAAAGGCGACTAGGGAATGGAGGCCCTATGTCTAAAATTTCAACTATGGATTGGAGCCCTATGTCGGCAAAAGGCGACTAGGGAATGGAGACCCTATGTCTAAAAATCTCAACTAGGGATTGGAGCCCTGTGTTGGCAAAAGGAGACTAGGGAATTGAGGCTCTATGTCTAAAATCTTAACTAGGGATTGGAGCCCTATGTTGGCAAAAGGCGACTAGGGGATGGAGATCCCATGTCTAAAAATAATCTCAACTAGGGATTGGAGACCCTATGTTGGAAAAGTGTAAAGTATTGAGATTGGGGATCCTAAACTACCATTATTTTCTTTTTTCATTTCTCTTCTTCTTTTTTTATTTCATGGACTGAGTAAATGCGGGAAAGAAAAATTGGAGGGGACATCCCTTTTTATGGATTGTCGCTGCAAAGCTGTTTCTAGCACTTGCGCTTTTTTTTGGTTGTTGCACCTGCTTCTTGCACGGTTGCTTTGGATTGCACCTGTTTCACATTTTTAAACTAAGAACAATTGTTAGTTTTAAACGGTGGTTGGTTTTGTGGCCTTGGTTGTTTTTGATCTAGGCCCAACTCTTTTAGTGAGGACCTCTACTGCTTGCTGGCTTTTCTTAAGATTGATATTTCTCCTAAAACCGAGGAACTCAACTTTCCAAACTTTCCAGATGACAGTTCATTCGTGTGGGGCTTTGGTCATTTCACCTTATTCTGCCTCTAGGGGATTTTGACTTTGCATTTCTTTTATTTTTAATAACTTTGATTTAAGAGCATCGGCACTCATGGCCAGTCGGGATCGACTTGACGCATCCGCTGAGCCTGGATATTTTTCTTTGGACTTGGATTTTATTAAGCAGAACCCTGTAAAACCAATCTTGTCACCTTTTCTTTGTATTAGTTTCAGAACAGAATTAGACCGAAAGGGATTCAAAGAAAGGTAAACAAAAGACAAGAAAGTGAATTTAAGGAGAAGTGTCTCTTTCGGGGAGGAAAGAAGGACTTATCTGGGGTGCATGCAGACTTCAATAGACATGACATGCTTCTTGGACTAAATACCTGATCTGCACAACTATCCAACTTCTCATAAACCCATTGCGACCTGTGTTTTAAATCTAGGAAACCTTGCCAGGACTCTTTCAGTACCGATGGTGGTGAAGGGCTTCTTCTTTTCGATCAACGGCGCCCTTTATGGGTTTTCGCCAATCGACCTCTCTCATTTCTCTTCTCACCATCGCCTTATAGTGCTTGTTGCGAGTTTTCACTAACAAGACTCTCTCATTTTCAGTTTCTCTACTCACCATCGACTTATGGCGCCCATGGGTTTTCACCAGTAAGAGTCTCTTATTTTATTTCTTTCATCTTGATTGTGTTGGATCCAATCAACTGCGTTCCCTAATTTTGAACAACTTTCACCGATTGATCGGAAGGACTTGAACAAGGCTTAGGTAAAAAGGACTCGGATCGAATTATAACTTTGGAACCATTCAGGCGGGATTATCGCTGAACCATTATAACATCTGCCCAGTTTCATTTTTTGGGGGAAATTGGATTTTTGTTTTGGTGTGACTGAACCCCAGAGAGAGGCTGCCTACGTATCCTTTCGGAATCAAGTCAAACGTAGTTCAGGGAGACATTTGTTTTTGCTGTTTTTGTTGTTTTTTTTTCTTTTCTTTTGTTTTGATGATTTGTTTTTAACATCAAGTTTCAAAGAGGGTAGTGAAAGGAAGGTAACCGGCTCGAAAGGTTAGCAAAGGATTGGAGTGTTTGGGGTAGCGAGAATGAAAGCCTTCGTCATCCCAATCAGATAATGTTATTGCTGCAGAACGACTAGACATAGTACCTTTTGACTAAATCTGCATTTACGGTTGTTTCAGGGTCATTTCCTTCGATATCTCCCAGGTATAATGCCCCTGTTAGCAACAATTTTCTGATAATGTATGGGCCTTTCTAGTTAGGAGCAAACTTTCCTTTTGCTTCGTGGTGGTGAGGGAGAATGCATCTCAAGACGAGTTTCCCCACCTCAAAATGTCTAGGCCGCACTTTCTTGTTGTAAGCATGGGCCATTCTTTGTTGATACAACTGCCTGTGGCATACGGCGGCCATTCGCTTTTCATTGATCAGGGTTAACTATTCCATGCGGGTTTTGGCCCACTCACTGTCTTCAATTTCAGCTTCAACAATGATCCGAAGAGAATGGATTTCAACTTTTATGGGTATTACGGCTTCAGTGCCATAAACCAAAAGATACGAGGTTGCTCCGACTGATGTGCGCACAGTAGTGCAATATCCCAACAATGCAAACGGCAATTTTTCATGCCATTGCCTGGATCTTTGGATCAACTTTCTCAGAATCTTTTTGATGTTCTTATTTGCTGCTTCGACGCTACCGTTGGCTTTGGGCCGATATGACTAGAATTTCGATGTGTGATCTTAAACTTCTCGCATAT